TCATTTGTAATTAATTTTTAATAAATTACAACAATCCCCCACTTGTTCTAATAATGACAAGATTAATTCCATAAAAAAGAGAGAAAAGAATGTTAACACAGTTAAGTATCTTTCGATTTGAACTTAACCTTAGTAAAGATAATGCAACGTATAATCAGAACGTTAGGTAGTTATGCTTTGAACCATTACCCCTTTGTGATTATACCGGCGTTACCTTACACACGTTCTTTAAGGATTCTTTGCCTACATCTCTCGCCTAGCACTATTTATGGCCATGTGCTTTTCCTGTGTTCATGAATTTTCATGAGAGAAACTCCAACTCTCACTTTAAGATGGCACCATCTCAAAATTCATATAGGTGAAATTCAGTTTGTATCTATTTCTTGAGATACATATCCTCGATATAGAACTTCATTAAGAGTTTTGAAAAAAACTCAACCCTCAATTATATATTAAGTCAACATTACCATGAAATGTTGCACAACCATCCAAATCAATGATTTGTTGTTACCCATTGAATCTTAGGTTAATATTTATTAACTTCAGATTGGGTTGCTATCATTGTCAGAACCATTATTCAAGGAGTTTCAACCCCATACCTTTTGAGGTTGTCTTTACTAAGTCTCTGGTCAGTGGCTTAGTAAACGGATCAGCTAAATTGTAGCTTGTTTGAATATATTTCAGTGAAATAATCTCATCCTTAATCAATTTTCTCACGAGAGAGTGTCTAAGACCTATGTGTCTAGACTTTCCATTGTATACTTCACTGAATGCTCTAGCTAGGGTGGCTTGACTATCGCAATGTATCAACACTTTTGAAACATTTTCTTTGGCTAAAGGTACCTCCAACAGAAGGTCTCTCAACCATTATGCTTCTTGTCCAGCAGATGCAAGAGCCATAAACTATGATTCCATGGTTGAGAGGGTTATGCATGTTTGTTTCTTGCTCTTCCAAGAAATTGCACCTCCGGCCAATGTAAATATATAACTTGCATCGGTATATCCTTCTAGTATGGCTGGGAACCTACCATAATGAAGTCCAAGATTTTTAGTCTTTAAAAGATAACCGAAAATCCTAGTTATGGTCTTCCAATGTTCATCATTTGGATTGCTAGTAAATCTACTCATCTTACTAGCTGCAAATGCAATGTTAGGTCTCGTGCATTACATTAAGTACATTAGACATCCAATTGCACTTGCATATTCCAATTGGGCCACAACTTTCCATTGTTCTTTTGAAGTTTAACACTAGGATCGAAAGGTGTGTTTACTTCCTTAAAGTTTAGGTGTTTGAACTTATCCAACATCTTCTCAATATAATGTGTTTGATTAAGTTCATTACCCCCACTATTTCTTCTTATTTAATCCCTAATGTTGTGTCAACTAACCCAAGATCTTTCATCTTGAATGTGGAAGTTAGAAATCTTTTCGTTTCTAAAATTCCGTTCATTTCGTTGCTAATGATTAACATATTGTCAACATATAGACACAAGTATATTACAATGTTTCCACGTACCTTTGTGTACAAACATTTGTCACACGAATTTGGAATAAAGCCATTTGAAAGTATGACAGAGTCAAACTTTTGATGCCATTGTTTAGGTGCCTGTTTTAAACCATATAAGGATTTAACAAGTTTGCAAACCTTTTGTTCATTTCCAAGAAGAACATAGCCTTCTGGTTGTTCCATGTAGATTTCCTCATCGAGATCTCCATTTAGGAATGTTGTTTTAACATCCATTTGATGAACAATCAGGTTATTCAAGGAAGCTAGTGCAAACAAGACTCTAATAGTCGTAGTTCTTGCTACTGGTGCATATGTGTCAAAATAATCGACACCTTCCTTTTGTCTAAATCCTTTTGCTACTAATCTAGCCTTATAGGTGTTTAATGTTCCATTACTATTTAACTTCTTTATAAACACCCATTTGCATCCTACGGGTCTTGATCCTTTAGGAAGATCGACAAGTTCCCAAGTGTGATTCGACATAATTGAATCCATTTTGTCTTGGATATCATCCTTCCAAAAAACAGCGTCCCTTGAAGCCACCGCTTCTTTATAGGTCTTAGGATCATCCTCCACTTGAAGAATAATAGAAATCTTATGAACATCATTCTTGTAATTTCCTTCAACTAGATATAAGGAAATGAGTTGAGAATCGGTTTCCTCTGGTCCTAGATCCTTTGTTTTTCGGGTCCTTTTTCTTTTCCTAGGCTCGGGTTGTGTTTCAACGATCCGCGGAGAATCTTTCTCATGAGATTCTATATTTGTGGGACTCTTGGCTTCCTTATCCTTTGTGATGAGGTTTTCGAAGAATTCCACATCTCGGGATTCAACTATTACATTTGACTCCAAATTTAAAAGTCTATATGCTTTACTGTTGGATGCATATCCTATGAAAGCACATTTGATCCCTCGAGGACCTAGTTTAGTCCTTTTTGGATCCATATTCTTGTAATATGCTACAAACCCCCCACACTTTAAAATAACAAATATTTGGTGATCTTCCTTTCCATATCTCATATGGAGAAGTTTTAGTTGTTTTCAAAGGGATTCTATTCATTATGTGACATGCGAATAGTAATGCTTCACCCCACAAGTTAAATGGAAATTCAGAATACATCAACATAGCATTTATCATTTCTTGATATGTTCGATTATTTCTTTCGGCTAGGCCATTTTGTTGTGGTGTACGAGATGCGGAGCATTCATGTATGATGCCATATTCTTCACAATATGCATCAAATTCCGTAGAAAAATACTCACCACCTCTATCGCTTCTGAGTACTTTTATCTTTTGATTTAATTGATTTTCCACTTCTGCTTTATAGATTTAAAGGCATTAAAAGCATTATCTTTATGCTTTAAAAGATATACATGTGTGAATCTAGAATAATCATCGATAGACGTTATAAAATAACGGTTTCCCCCACGAATTAACATACCATTAAATTTACACAAATCAGAATGCACAAGATCAAGTAAGTTTGATTTTCTTTCAACACTTTTGAAAGGTTTCTTGATCATTTTCGACTTGACACATATTTTGCATTTTCGAAATCATGAATGTTACATGAGATCAATCTGGATTTGATTAGTCTATTCATAGTACTAATACCAATATGTGTTAATCTAGAGTGCCATAAAGTAATTGACTCAAGCTTATAAACAAAATTAGAAATTTCATTAATCTTATTATCAATAGTACAAAGTTTGATCATTCCTTCAGCAGAGTATCCTTTTCCTACAAACACACCATTACGGATCAATATTAATTTATCCGATTCATATACAGATTTAATACCCGGTTTTCCCAATAAGTCCCCACTAATAAGGTTCTTATTCATATCGGGAACATGAAGTACATTAACAAGAGTGACTTTCTTTCCAAAAGTGAAGTTGAGTTCGACGGATCATGTTCCAACGACTTTAGATCGAACTTCATTTCCCATCTTCACTTCTTGTCCATCATTAACTTCAGAATATGATTTGAATGTTACTTTGTCATAAGATACATGAACGGTAGCACATGTATCATACCACCATCCTTAGACTTTTCCTTTGATTGCCATAATTTCGCTTACCGTCGCGATTATGTCATCATCGGGATGAACAACATTAACCTTCTTTTTGTTTATACTGTGCCTACAGTCTCTAGCATAGTGACCTGGTTTGCCGCATACATAGCATCCATTTTTCGTGCCTTTATTTCCGCCAGAATTTTTGAACTTGTTATGTTCCTTCTTAGGGCCAAGATGATTCTTCATGCCATCCTGTTTCTTCTTTCCTTTTGCGGCTACAGAGTTTGCCTTTGCAAATCCAGCGGATTCAGTTTTTTCTCTATCCTTCGTTTCCTCCTCGATACGAAGATGTTTATGAAGTTTCTCCAACGAGAGATCCTCAGAACATGCAGCAATTTCTTTATGTACCCTTTCCATGAAGGTGGTAATTTTGCAATTATTGCACCAACTTGGAAAGCTTCTGGAATGTCTATTTTCACGGCTATTATTTTATTCACGAGAACCTGTAACTCGTGAACTTGTGCAAAGAATAGGTTTGAAATCCATCATTTTGAAATCAAAGCATTTAGATATTAAGAACTTTTTCGTACCTTCTTCTTCAGCCTTGAATTTAAATTCGAGTACTTTCCATATTTCCTTTGCAGATGGAGTGTCGGTATACAGATCATACAAACGATCGAACAATGTGTTTAGAATATGTCCACGGCAGAGCAATTCATCTTCCTTTCGTTTCTTTCTTTCCCTTTTGACTTCATCAGTATCATCTTCAATTGGTACTGAAATTGGTTCCAAGTCAGGATATATAACATATTGAATCTTCAAAGCAGACAGGAGGAACGCTATTTTGTCTTGCCAGCGGGTATAGTTTGTTCCATCGAATCGATCTAATTTAACAAGGTCCTGGTTCATCACTTTGATGCTTGATACAACAACGTCGATGGCCATGATTTGAGATACTATAAGACTGTTAGTTAAAGCTTCGAAGTTGAATGAATCCAGACTTGAATCGTGAAGGAAACATTTTCCTTATAGTATTTCAAACACTCTCGATTTGTCTTGGAGTATTGATGCAGGAATACCCAAGATAATTCAGCCTTATCGGATTTGCACAAGATGAAAATCTGAATGTAGCGAAGAGCGTTCTGGAATATATTTCAGAGGATAAGCGTTTTCCCTTGTTTTTTTTTTTCTGTAATTGTGAATCCTAAATTACTTATTTATAGGCAACATTGGTATTGTTTCACAAAGTGGTCACCCTTGGTGAAACAATATATTCTACCAAAAGATACAATGTTTGGCCCATTGTAACTTATTCAAAAGTTGCATGCTTTCAAATGGTAACACTCCATAAAATATTATGTCTTTCAAATTCAAATTTCAAAACGTAGGCAACAACCAAAAACAGGAGCAACGATAATAAACTGACCAAAGGCCGGGTCGCCCGTCGTAGACGGCCGGTGTGCCACCTCATTAACGCCGTGAATAGCCCGATTGCTCTGATGCGTCGTGCCGTTTACAAGCCATCACTAGCCACCTCTACGCCCCCGGAAGCGGTGTCGCCAATGGCAACACCGGGGAGGGGTTGTAGGATTGGGACAAATAGCATAATGCTTGAGACCACCACACTTGTCAATGTGGCACTTTATCCTCTTTTATCCTTTTGTAGAATTAATGTTTTTAACTCATTTATAAAGACATTCAAAGTGAGTGAATCTTCCTATGTAGGACTATTTCTCATGCATTTATTAGCATTTACTCACTTTCATTATCTTGTCATTTTGGAACACTCATTTGTAATTAATTTTCAATAAATTACAACACTTATTGGATCACATTGCACACACGCAACGTTGATGATGTTAAGTTAAAACATACCACCAATATAAAAATGTGCAAAAATAAACAATCCACAAAAGCATAAGGTCACTCTTCAGCAAAAGAAAGAAAAGCATCAAGTTACTGCCAGTCAAAGAATCGTCTTCAACTATGTTCACTGGCAATAGTTGTGATTGCTTTCATCCTCTTCACTTGTTCCATGCATGGGCCATGTGACTCCAGTTAGATCAGTTACCTAACTCTTTAAAACATGGATGGAAACCCTTCCAACTCCAGTTGAAGATCTAGCATCTACAAATTTATATTTGTCTTCTATTTCCACTAGATTTTTCCGCAAGATACCTGTTATCGTTATAACTTTAATCATTATACAGAGAAGAGGATGCAGGTAGATATTGTTTCAGAAGACAATAAGCTCAGAAATCATAAAACCTAACAGCTTTTGAAGAAGTAACTACTACACTTCTTTAAGTGTCAATGTCACAAAAGAAATATCTAATACATCAACAACACTCCATAATTACCTCCACTCAAGTGTCACCTGTCAGCGTGTTTCGAAGATCTTACGTTATAATTTATGACATGTCTATAAGTTGTTTTCAACTTGTTTCCATAAGCTCTCCATACTAGCTTATGGAAACGGCTTATAGCTTATATGAAAACAATTTGACTTTATTTCAACTTTTGTTATAAAAATCGATTATATACATAAGCACTTATACAGCAAGGAAGAGCCTAATTAAGATATTTATCTAAACATGGCTAAAGTGTACATGAACATGCAAATTAAGTTGGTTTAATATTGCAATAATACGTCAGCTGGGGATCTTGCTAAACATTGTGTCTGAAAGTGAAGATTACATTTGATTTAGTCTAAAGCAGTGGTTAAAAAGTTTGGTCAATCAAAGCTCAACCTAATTAATGCAACAACAATCCAGATACGTATTTTTACCTGCTACATAGCAACATGCTAGAAAAATTCTATAAAAAATGAGATAAATTATATAACAGATAACACTTTGACAGAAACTTACTTCCCAGTATAGAAGCCAGCAGAATACCAAGCATTCATAAGAGTAGTAAGATCAGTTTCTGAGTCACCAATTTGTTCAGGTTCAGAATTCTCTCTCTCTTTCTCTGAATTAATGGAATAAGCACATATCATAACAATGAGTATAATTATATGCGCCCGAGAATATCTTTGTACTTGGTAAAGCTATTTAACTAGACAAAAAATGTAAAGTCACTGAGGCACAAAAAGGTGTGTGGATGTATGTGCCTTCTGCAGTTTCATTAATCAAATAACCCAAACCTAAGAAAGAAAGCACTAAAAATACAGCCTGTTAAACATTTAAGAACGAACAAACATTAGTACAACCAACCATGCTTCTATGAATATTGAACGATGACAACTTCCATGGCTAAATCAGAATTAAAATTCATGTCTTAATTCACCAAATTACATAACAGTAAATAAGAAAGCAGTATATGACTCAAACACCAGGAGAAAATTTCAACTGATGCAAGCACAAAGAGCTCGTAAAATATGCATGAACTGTACATTATAAGCCATCAGTGCACAGAATAGATCCAGGATCACATAAAGAATGCACAATTCAAACACAAGGAATATCTGACATTAAAATTCATGTCTTAATTCACCAAATTACATAACAGTAAATAAGAAAGCAGTATATGACTCAAACACCAGGAGAAAATTTCAACTGATGCAAGCACAAAGAGCTCGTAAAATATGCATGAACTGTACATTATAAGCCATCAGTGCACAGAATAGATCCAGGATCACATAAAGAATGCACAATTCAAACCCAAGGAATATCTGAACTCTGAAGACACAGGGGAAGTCAGTAGCATTTAACATGGGTTTTAGTTCCAGAGCAACAAAATGTAGCTTTAGATGCAAACAAAACAACTCCAGTTTTCGACTCAGAAGTGTTCATATAACCATAAATTTGGCCATTTCAATAACAAAAGCATGGATAGTAGCCGAAAATTCAGTAACAAAAGCATCGAAAAGCAATGTTATCAACCGGTATCAATTAACTTAACAGCAACTAAGCTATTCATGCACCTGTCTCCTTAAAGTAGAAATATTTTTACCTCCATTTACATTCAGATCTCCAGAAATAGCTGTTCTAATAGTAGAAAGTGCCCTCTCTGCTGCCCCCAATGCCATTTCCCGAACTTTACCATCTCCAGAAATCAACGTTTTAGGATCCTTTTCTGCAGCAGAATCGTTACAAGGTTTACCAGCACACGTTCCACCAACAGAACAGCCAGGACCCAACCTGCCCAAAGCCAAAGCACATTGACTATAATCCGGACAACACGAACAGACAACATTCGGATCGGAAACTTGGTGCGGAGACATCCAATAATCTTGAGCATTAGAATACGGTACACCAGAATCATACACAGTGGGTGCATATTGGTAATTCAAACTACCATATTCATTAATTTGGTCCCAAATCTTCAATCTTTTCTCCTCGAGTTCATAGTACTGAGCAACTAACTGATTATAATCATCAATTTCTTGCCCATATGAATAACCACTATGTCCAATTTGAATATCTTGAGCATTTGTTGAATCTAAACAAGGTTGGTGATTTTCTTTCAAGTTTGAAACTTTACTAATTTCACTTGAATCAGTAGTGGGATTACTAATTTTCGCTTCAGTATCCCTAATTAAGCAAAATACATTATGAAAAATCATGCAGAAAAAAAAAACGATTCTTTTTCTGAGTTAAATTCAATTCTACCTTGTAGTAGTTGAGATTTCAACGTTTTCTTGGATGATTCCCTCTGCTTCTTTGTTTTTGGAGCTGATGTGCATTTTCTGATAGAAAAAAGGGTCGCAATTAGGTCGAATTGAAACCGAATTTGAGTATGAAAAAGTGAGATATTGGGAATTGCGAAGAAAATGAACCTTGTAAGAAGAGATAGCGTTATCAAAGGCGTTGATGAGAGCTGAATCGTCCCATAGATCTCCTTGTCCCATTCTTGCTGCAACTGAAACCGAACACGCACCTTCTTCAACCTAAAACCCTTTTATTTTATATCTAAACCTTACTCACTCTTAATTTTGTGGAAAATGAATGTGAATTTTCTACGTTGATTATTACTATGCGGTCCTTTATATATTATTTTTATAATTTATGTATACAACTAAATTCGTAAAATCTCTTATTTGGCAGGTAGTTGAGTATTGATAAAAATTTGCGAACTTGTCAATCTTTTATAAATCCTTAAAAATAATTTTATAAATCTTTAAAAATAATTTGAGTTTGAAGCCTATGCCAAATATAAAGAAAAGTATTTTGGACGGGGTCTGTCCTTGGCCCAACTCTACGAAAGACTCAATCTAATTATGTCGGTCAAAGTATATTGATCAGTTATGTCCTAGACTTTGTCGGACAACAACTCTCACTCCCCGCAAGGAGGCAACCTCACCGCACAAGGATAAATCCAGTCAGTCTTAGGAAGGTCATCGCCGGTCAGGAGGACCTCGAGGTCATCCTCCGATCCTCTTCCCGACTAAGACTGATCCCTTCACACGACCTCGCATCTGGCGGGGAGCATCCACGACGAGCAGAAGCACCTCACGAGCATCCTCCTCGTAGGGCTGACTGGCAACATCTCTGAATATCGCGAAGTCTTCGTGGTCCCGAAAGACCACATCCATATCCTCCCGATCTTGCGGAGGAAGTCATCCAGGTGGAAGACCACATGCGGGTTCCCACTACTCACGTAGAATCTGGAAGTCTCCACTTTGGGCATGTTTGATCAGCCCAATGAGGAGACATTGGCCCAGCGTTGGGGGCTATAAATACTCTCTCTTTCGAGAGAGTCAGATATTGATCATCTCTTACTCACTCTTGCTTGCTAGCTCATTTTGTATCTCATTTTGGCATCAGAGTGTCTTGCAGGTACCCCCCACCTCACTCTCAAGTTCTGCTCGACGTAAGCTGTGACAGTCCATTCTGGTCAGGTACGATCAGTGGCACCATTTATGGGAAACATTGCTTCCCTGTCTTCATTCACCCAAGACAAAAGCTAATCCAACTCCTTTCTGACTGTCATGGCTGATCACACGGCAGAAAACAACCTGAATGTCCATCTCGCCAACGTGATCAACAACGTCGCCGACCATGACACCGACATCAACAACTGTTGGCCTCCACACCGGTAACAATAACAACATCGATAACAACGGCCATATCGGGGGCATGCCCGGCCCCTCAGAGTACAGAGACGGGTTGACTGCCTCTTCGTCATCACTGTCTCGGTGACTCGAAGACGACCGTCGTCCTCTCCAGAACTATCAGTTGCCCGTGTTCCAGGAGGTCCTCATTCCTGCGGGTGTTGATTCCATGACCAGGGCGCTGTTCGCGACAATAAATCAAACGAACTACTTGATCTTTTCGCAAAGGGATAGATTAAGGGCGCTCGAAGATTCTCTGAGAGCCCCCAGAAGACATATGAGGCCTAATTCTCCTCCTCCTCGTCAGACAGAGGATCGTCCCCAATCTCCCCGTGGAGACGCAGACGGGATGCCTCTAGAAGCCCCTCCCCTCGACCAATCAGGCAACGCCCCGCGTTGGAGAGGGATCAGCCCGTAGATACGGGGAGACGATATCACCTCCCCCCGCGTCAAGAGCAGAGACCCCCTGGAAATAGGAACAGGGGAAAAGACGAACGACCACACCACCCGAGGAATCCTCCGCGCGACCAGGGTCGTCATCATGACCGCCACTACAACAGTTCTCCTTCTCGATCTCCGGACAGAAGCGACGAAGACGACCCACGCGGTCTCCTATCATAAGTTATTATGGAGGCACCCATTCCCCTGGGTATGAAGAAACCTCCCTATCTTAAGGAGTACGACGACATTACCGATCCAGTCGACTATATTGACGGGTTCGAGGCAATGCTGCATTATCATAACATCGGGGGACCGATCAAATTCCAGTTGTTCCCCACGACTTTGAGAAAAGTTGCGATGGACTGGTATAAGAGCCTCGCCGCGGGGTCAATTACCTCCTGGAGGAATTTAAAAAAATAGTTCATCAGTTCATTCACTGCCTCACGTCGACATCCGAAGACTGAGGCAGCCCTCGAGGCCATCATCCAAAGAAACTACGAGACCCTTAGGGAGTTCATTGATCGATTCAACCGCGAGGCCATCCAAGTCCCATGCACCGATCATATAAAGAGATACCTGCTCGAGAGGGGACTCCTCCCTAGCACGGAGTTCAGAAAAGTCGTTGGCATCGAACCACCATGGACATTCGATGCTCTCCTCGAGAAAGCTAGGGCCTATATGGACTATGAGGAGAGGGAAGCAACCAATAGAGCCCGGGACCCGAGGAATCGTGGATCGACCAGCAATCTGCGACAACAAGATTCTGGCCCTGCTCGACGAACGAGCGAAAAGAGGAGGGATGACAAACCACGGGATCCTCGCGAGCAAAGAGGGTCCGCGGGGTGATTTACTGAGTACACTCCGCCGACAGCTTAGTGCGAGCGCATCTTAGCGGAGTGTGCTAGTACTGATTTCAAGGACGGTGGTGTCAGGTGTCCTCACTCTATTCCTGATAAACTCGAAGCTGATCGGAGCAAATACTGCCAATATCATTGAAATCATGGACACCTGACTGAAGAATGTGTCTATCTCAAATATGCTATTGAGACCCTCATTAAAGGGGGAAGACTCGGGAAATATCGGTGCAGCGACTCCCCTCGTCGAGATGTCCACGACACAAAGGAGATTAAGGAGAATGCCTGACCATCAGACGAGACGGTCCCCATCCAGTTAGCATTCTCCGTTACAAGACCGGAGGACTTCTACGTCCCCGACAATATCGAAGAGCCTCTGTCCATGCACAATAGGTGGGAAAGGTTCCCCTCCGCCAAGGTCATAAATGGCAGGGGTTCAACGATATAACTATAAACTCCGCAAAGAGGAAACTGGATGAACTGGTCGATGCCCCCCCCCCCCCCCCCCCCCCCGCAAACAGTGACGTTTGAGAGGGTTAAGGGTAGATCAAAGTCGATCACATTCTACCTCGAAGAATTGCCTGGAGAGGCCCCCAAATCAAGCATTCCCCTTCTGGTTAGGGCGAGGATGGCCAATTTTGACGTTCATCGCGTCTTGGTCGACGAGGGGAGTTCCATCGATGTAATGTATAGCCAACTCTTTTAAACCCTACAGCTCGACGATACCCACCTTTCACCATACGTGGGGTCCGACCTACGGGGCTTCAACGGCTCGACCTCCAAACCTTGGGGGTACGTGAAGCTCTTTGTCACCTTCGGCGAGGATACTGCTACCAGGCAAGTCAAGGTGCAGTTTCTGGTCATCAACTTCCTGTCTCTCTACAACTGTATTCTGAGGAGACTAACATTGGCAAAACTGATCGTTGTTCCCTTCACCGTCCATCTGAAGATGAAATTCTACACAAAGAGAGGAAGCTTCGCCAATATCCAAGGCGACCTAGTAGCTCCCTGAAGATGCTTCAATGTGGCGTCAAAGGGACAGAGCACGGTCAACACTGGAGCACGACCCACCAAGAGAGCTGCTACAGCATGGCCAGAGCCACGGCCTACCAAGACAGAAGAATAGAGAGTTCCTCCAAAGGTCGACTCTATTTCGCTGGACACTCATTTTGACCAGGATGAAGCACCTAACGGTGAGCAAGTACTCATCCAACCAATCTCGGATGGAGACTTTGAGCTCGTCCCCCTTGGTGAAGACCCTCACAAAGGCGTGAAGATCGGCAACGGACTCTTCGACCTGGCGAGGAAGCATATTAAAGCTTGCTTGAGGGTGAATGTGGACCTATTCACAAGGAGTGTTGTAGAGATTCCCGATCTTGACCCCGAGGTCGCCTGTCACCAACTGGCCATTAATCCAGCCGCTAGGGCAATAGACAACGTAGGCGTAGGCAATCTCCCAAGAAAGCGGAGGTCGCTGAAAATGTTGTAAAAGACCTCCTAGGGGCAAATTTTATTTCTGAGGCCAGGTATTCAACCTGGCTGTCAAATGTTGTACTAGTTAAAAAAAATAGTGGAAAATGGTGTATGTGTGTTGACTATACCAATCTTAACCGGGCATGCCCCAAAGATGCATTCCCCTTGCCTAATATTGATATGATGGTCGAAAACTCGGTCGACTATAAAATTTTATCTTTTATGGACGCCTACTTGGGCTACAATCAAATTTCAATGGCGATGAGCGACAAGCATTGCATCGCTTTCATGACCAACTCGGGCAATTACTACTATAATGTAATGCCCTTCATTCTAAAAAACGCGGGGGCGACATACCAGCGGATGATGAATAAAGTTTTTCGCAATGAGATCAGAGATATGCTCGAGGTATACATGGACGACATGATCGCCAAATCTCGAGCAGACACCGATCATGCTGCTCACCTCAAAAAGCTCTTTGCCCAAGCGAGACAAAGTAGAATGAGGTTCAACCACGAGAAATGCACTTCCGGGGTTAAGGCGGACAAGTTCCTTGACTTTTATTTAACAGAACGGGGAATTGAAGCCAATCCCGAAAAGTGTCGGGCATTCTCCGACCTCCCTACATCTAATTCGAAAAAATCTATACAAGTCCTGAATAGCATGCTCACCTCGCTCTCCCATTTCGTGGCGAAGTCTGCTCAACACGCCCTTCCATTTTTCAAGCTCCTATGCAAAGAGGGAGCTTTCGAATGGACCGAGGAATGCAAGAAAGCCCTTCTTCATCTCAAACAAAGCCTTTCGCAACCACCTGTATTCTCACGACCATTGAACGGGGAAACCTTGTTCTTGTATTTGGCCGTCTCCACCGAGGCCATGAGTGTAGCCCTCATCTACGAGACTCCTGACGGTCAAAAGCCAGTGTATTTCATGAGCAAAGCACTTCAAGGACCCGGGATCAGGTACAAACAAATCGAGAAGGTGGCCTTGGCCCTCGTCATTGCAGCGAGAAGACTCAAACACTACTTC